GTTATTAATGAAGCCTTTTATCATTCTAACTGTTCTTTCTGCGTTTGTCCGTTTCGATGTAGATGTCTCGGGAAAGTTTGAGGTGAGATTATGTAATTGAAACTCGATCATACAGGTACCCAGGGTCTTCAATGTGTAAGTTTACTTTCTTCTTTTGCAGGCAGAGGAAGTCTATAATTTCTCACAGGATGATCTCTTGACAGAAGATATCTTAGTACTTGACACACATGCAGAAGTGTTTGTTTGGGTTGGTCAGTGCGTTGATTCCCTAGAAAAGCGAAGTGTTTTCGAAATTGGTCAGGTGATGAACAAAAATCAGTTCCTTTGTCTTGTTATTGTTCCAATATGCTCTTTATTCATTTTAAAAGTTCTTTGCAGAAATATATAGACAGGGCTGCAGGTCTGGATGGTTTGTCTCCGATTGTTCCACTTTACAAAGTTACTGAAGGAAATGAACCCTGCTTCTTCACAACATTCTTTTCATGGGATCCCAACAGAGCTACTGTATGTGTCCTTGACTGAATTTTTGTACTTTATCCTTGAGTTACTGTCACTTCAATTAATGCTAGATTTAACTTCCATCTTTATCGGTCTTCAACTAACATGTTTCATTGTTCCTTTCACGTATGTTGCCTTCAGCTTGCTTTGTTTCATATTTACACTTAGATGTTCTCTCTGGAGCACAGGTGAACGGAAACTCATACCAGAAGAAGAGGACATTGCTCTTTGGAGCTAGCAACGATGTAGAGGTAAATTCTTTCATTTCACACGAAGTTAAAATTTTCAATATATGAAGTTTCTCCAGTGTTAAGTAAAATTTGATTCATAAAAATTAAATGTCAATTGTAAGGAAACTTTTAAAAGCATATTTTGTTTGATGGAGTGAAAGCATCAATAAGATTGTGTAAATAACGTTACATCTTTTGGTGTTGTTCAATAGTGCTTCCTGTTATAACTTGTATCCATTGTGTACATTATGAACCATTTTTACCATTTTGTTGCTAACTTAATTTGCAAAGATAAATTTCTGGCATATATCTGCTACAGATGACACTGAATTTTAACAGTGATTGCCCCTGAGGAGCCTTTGATCCTTATTCTTTGTGGCTAAATTAAGGACAGTGATATAAGATCTTATCTAAAGACGATAATGCCTTTCTATCTGTTTCTCTTAAAACGATCATAACTTTTTACTAATCCGGTTCCCTGAATGATGGAATCTATGCTGCGGAGACAGGACAAGCCCAGTCAGAACCTAGGGGGTGCCACTCAAAGGGCTGCTGCTTTAGCTGCCTTAACTTCTGCATTCAATTCATCTTCTGCCAAATTAACCCCTTCGGTATTAAACTGCTTATGCCACTAAACTCTTTTTCGAACTCTTTTCAGTATGTGTGTGCACATGCATGCATGTATGTATGTATGTATATACATTAGTTTTAGCTGTATCCAATTTTGGGTGTAAACTAAAAAATGAAAAGAACCAGTATATCTAGCCAAATTAGCTGGAGGACAGTAAGACTATGAGCTGCATCAGTCTGGAAAAAGGAAATCTGCTTAGCCTTTCATTCAAGATTTGAATTGTTGGCAGTTCCATTCTTATGTTTAGTTATATGCATTGGTGTTTTGCATAAGTTCGATAGATGCGGCTTATTATTGTTTCCTTTGGCTTCTGCACATGCAAAATCTAATATCGTTTTCTTACATAATGATTATCACCGAAGTTCTTTGTGCATGTTTTCTTGAGAATTCAAACCATTCATTACATTGCTTATGAGTTAACTTGTTCGATATGCGCCGTTACTTTAGGCCTCGGACCACTCCCCTGAAAATAAGAGTGGAACTACACAAAGAGCTGCAGCTTTAGCAGCTTTATCATCTGCATTTAATCAGTCAGCAGAAACCAAAGCCCCGCCTCCAAGGCGTCCCAGTTCCAGTGAGGGATCGCAAAGAGCTTCAGCTTTAGCGGCTTTATCATCTGCGTTTAATCCATCATCAGAACCCAAAACTGCGGCTCCGAAGCCTATCACTTTTCGTCAGGCATCGCAAAGAGCGGCTGCAATAGCTGCTCTTTCATCTGTTCTCACTGCTGAAAAGAAGACAAAATCGCCTGCCGTATCACCTCCTAAGAGAATCTCCAGGAGCAGTTCCTCAATAGCTGCTCTTTCCTCTTCTCTCACTTCTCAAAGTGCGAGACAATCACCTGACGTGTCGCCCAAGAAACTCTCCAGGAGCAGTTCCACACCAACCACCCCACCTTGTAAGAACACTTATCTGTCAACAGTTTTCTTTTTTCTTGAATAAGATAACCATTGATCCACAAGTTGCTAATTCTGAAACTATGTCCAATGCATTGAAATCGTACAGCCGAGTTAGCCGACTTAAAGAGTGAAGCGGGCCCTTTTGAAGCAGAGGATTCTCAAGTGGTTGCTAAAACCAACGAGGTAGAGTCGGAACCGCCAAAGGAAGAGTCAGAACCGCCGAAGGAAGAGAATGAGAGTGCATAACGCACTCAAAGTACATTCGAATACGAGCAGCTAATGACCAATTCCGAAACCTCGTGACGGTGATCGGTTTCAACTGGAAGTAGGTTTAACCCGCCATTTATGTCTTCAAGTTTGCTCTTTTGTTTTTCTCCCCTAGCATATCCATGTTCATAGCTCATGCTCTTTGATTCCCAGGCTCACTCCTAATTTACGCACTTCCGATGGGACTCGCATACTAACTCGCAACCCGTCTGCACCGGAAATCGAAGTTTCATTTGGTATTATATAATATGCCTGGATTGCTGTCTTTGATCAATCACTTATAGGTAGATTAACAGTCTTTTATTTCTTTGGCAATGTATCTCTCTTATCTTCTTTGGGGTTAATTCCATGTGTTTGATCTATTAAATTATGGACTGCTTAAACTTATACTATATGATTTGCATTTGTATTTGTATTGATCTTTAATTGTAATCAGTTGAACTCCATTTTGTTCCTCTATTTTAATTTGTCGAAATTTGGTAGTCGATTTTACAAATATTTAAAAGTTAGTCCAAATAACATAATTAAGGATGGTCATAGGTCACGTCAGGATTTCGGGTTATCCGAACCTAACCCGAGTGTTACACCCTCATCCGACACCTAATCCAAGTTCAACGAGGTTCTACCTGACTCAAAGTTTAGAGTCAAAACTTACTTCAGATCCGATACAAATATATATAAAAAAAAAGTATATGACTATTATAGTAATTATCCATAAATATATAGAGTACAATTATACTATTATATTATTATCCATAAATAAATTTCATTATTTAAATATTATCATTTAAATAAGGTCTAATGTGATATTTATATCTTTAAAATATTTAATGTGATATCTATTAATTATTAATTATTTAATGTACTTAATGTAATATATATACTTTATCGAAATATTTAATATGATATATGAACTATTATTTCATGCATTATTATGATATATAAATTAACAAATGTACCTAAACTGTAATTAATATATTATTATCATTATGACACTTGATTAACATTGTAAATAAGAATTAAATCAATCAATGAAAATTCACAAATATTATAATAGTACACAAATGATAATTCAGATATATTATATTAGATGTGTTTTCTTTTTCAAAATAAAAACATAAATTATATATTTTTAAAGCACAAATATTATATTAAACATATTAAGAGTACAATTATTTTATGAAAATAAGACACCAAATGTAATATCATCACTTAAATACATATACAATAAACAATATTATCCCAATTTAGGTTATTAATAATATTATAAAAATTAATTATTAAATTTAAAACTAAAATTAAAAAAACGAAGCTCTAATGAGTTCAGATATTAGATCTGTTCAGTAATTTTCAGGTTAAATTTTCATATTGTAAACAAAGAAAATCAAGTTAAAAGAGTTACTCTCTTGAAGAGCTTTTACAGTATTATTAATCGATGAATGGATTGAATATAGATGATTATACTAAAAAAATAAAGAAAATGATATCTCCAATTTTAACATAGTAGAAGGACCAATACCATAATTTCACCTGAGGGACGAGCATATGGAAATATACACGATTTTGAGGGTAAAGTACACAAATAGTCCCAAAATTATAAGTTATTGTTTTATTAAATCCATTGACTATTAAAAGTTTCAAAACGGTCCTTCAATTATAGAGTGTTGCTTTGTTGAGTCCATCGACTATTAAAAGTTTCAAAATGGTCATCCAACTATTCATTATGTTCCAAACTCATCCTTTTTCGTTAAAAAAATGACAACATTCTGAGCTGAATATTAACGTATTAAGTGTGATATGATAAAATATGATCCTAAAATCTCAAACAATTATCATATTTCAGTCATTATGTTAACGTCCAACTTAGATGGCTGTCAATTTTTTAACGAAGAAAGTTGAGTTTGGAACATAATGAGTAGTTGTGTGACCTTTTTGAAACTTTTAATAGTCGAGGGACTCAACAAAGCAACACTCTATAGTTAGAAGATCATTTTGGAAGTTTTAATAGTTAAGGGAATTAACAAAACATTACCTTATAGTCAGGGGACCATTGATATACTTTATCCCGATTTAATTGAGCGCCTAAAAGTAAAATTCAAACAGGCATTGATCACACGAGTTACACGTGTCAAAAGTTTAGAAGAAATGAAACCAGCCCCTATAAGGGCGCCATTATTTTCACTTCGAAAAATTTGCCAAATTCGTCTCTCCAAACACCGTTTGCCGCCTCCGGTAGCCACCGCCGTCACCGTTAAAACCTTCAAGCAATCACCCATTTTTTCCTAAGGTTACACTTTTTGTTTGTAGTTTTGAACCGACAGAATCCATATTCTCAATATTTTTCTTATTCTTTCTTGTTTTTTCCACATTTTCTGGTGAAAATTACGATACCCTTTTTACTTTTCCGTTTGTTTTTGCGTATTCTCTCCATTTTATTCGAAGTTTTTTATACCCATTTGCTTGTCTTTTGTGGGCTGAACTCTATAAGGAATGGCGGAGTCAAGAGATAGACTCGTAAGAACAGTTGATTTAGCGGAAGTCTTTGCTCGAAGACATGTTGGGCCTTCGGGAATCCTATCAGATGAAGCGGTGGAGATTTTGGGCGTTACGCGCAGGCCAACGGGTGTTGCCGGTGCTACTGTTTTGACGGCTCGTGGTGGAGGGTTCCGTCGGGGCAACAGTTTTGGGACTCCAAGATTCAGCGTTAGACGTGGCCGGAATAGAAGAGAAAATACTCCGGCGACGCCGAGTCCCTTGGGCCGTGGAAGGGGTGGAGGTTCGGGTACTATGTTACCTTCTTGGTACCCGAGAACTCCTCTCCACGATATTACTGCTGTAGCAAGGGTAATAATGGCTTGTTTTTCATCTTTTATCTATTTTTTTATTTTTACTTTATCTTATTAGTGGCTTTTAATCTGTTTCTTTAGCATTGTTTATTCATTTACCTTGTTTGCGGCTCTGTTTGGTTTTGCTAGTGGAAGATTTTTGATAGTGGAATTGCCTATACGATTTTTTCTTGGTATTTATTGTTCACTCTGGCTTCAATGAGCTTGATTTTTCTGTATCATTTCTGGGTTTTGATTCATTCACTTACATTGGGTTTTAAAAAGTAGAAGTTCATCTGATTGTCTTTACTTCGAACCTGTTGTATTTATCTCTTAGCGTGATTTATATGGCCGATTATTGGACTTCCATTTTATAAGCTAATATTTAATGCTTATCTTGAGTTTATTGAACTTGGTCTGATGCTCACTTTATTGTCTTCATTTCTTATCATGTGTCTTGTTCATCCATAGTCCATCTGCCATTCATGGATTCATCCATAATACATTTGCTTGATGTTTATATTATTGCCTACATCTCTCATCAGGTGTCTTGTTCATCTATAGTCCATTTGCCTGTTATTCATGGATTCATCCATAGTCTATTTGCTTGATGTTCATCTTATTGCCTTCATTTCTTATGCGATTAATGGATTCATACGGTCTGTGAAACTTATCATGTGTCATATTCATCCCTAGTCCATTCGCCAGTAATTCATCGTTTCATACAGTCCGTGGTCTGTCGAAAGTTGAACGTTACTTATCTCTTATATTTGAGTGTGTTTGATATGCCGTTTGGGTGCTTAACTCAAGCACCAAATATAATGTTTTGCTTAGTGCATCCCCTTTATTACCAGTTTGGTAAGCTTTCACAGGAAGAACACCTATGGCTTTTTACACTGAACTTCAATAATTATTTTCCGGTGCTCAACTCAAGCACAAAATATATTTTTTACTGAATTTGATGGGGATAACCAGGCCATCGAAAGGAGGAGAGCAGGGTTAGGAGACGGTGAAGGCCTATTACTAGAGACCCCTGTACCCAGTAACGAGACTATTCTTGGTTCAAACATATCATCAGTTGCTCAACTAGAGCGCAATTTCTCAACACCAGCTTCAACTTCCAGATCGAAGCCTCGCCCTCCAACGATCAAGAGTATGTCGAAGATTCTGCTAAATGTCACCAATAAAAAAGGTGAGGAATCCGAGGAGGGGCTTCTTACTCCCCAAAAGAAGCTCTTGAACTCCATCGAGACAGTGGAAAAAGCCGTGATGGAGGAGTGTCGGAAAATGAAAAGGACACCAAGCGCGAGAAAGGCGGAAAGACAGCATAAAGTCCGAACCTTGATGTCCATGCGATGATCTCGAGGCTCGAACACCATTACTCAGTGGAATCTGGCTTGATCATCCTCTGATGATACGTTTGCATACATGAATAGATACTTTCTATCACCATTTTTTTCTTTAGATTTCGCCACATTGTTGAATGACTTGATGACCATAGGGACAGGGATACGATTTGCCTTCAATACTCACTGAAGGGTCCTGGATTCTTTCTGACCTTCATACTTTGAAGGGACCAGTGTAGGGTAATAGCCTTATAGGAGGGCTTTGTTTCAGCATTGAAACTATGTAAATAACACTTGTTTCTGGATTTTGGTTCACATTTTTTCTGGGATTTACATTGATGTGAATATGTAGTATTCAAACTTCATTAGAAATGGGTTTTACATGTATATGTTCAGCATGGTTTATGATTTACATACATGATGTGGGTAGAATATATTTTATGTAATTTTTTTTTCAATGAATGATTATAGGTAAAATGCTAAAAAAAGATATTTAAATAAATCTTTATTAAACACATTTGATTATTGGAGGAATGATTAGTACCATACTAAAAAATATTATTAATAAAATATATTAGAGTGATTAAAACATGAACAATTTGAAAGTTGAGTTGTTAAATTGAAAATTTTTAAACTTTAACCTAAATAGGAGTGAGAAGATAGTTGAGGGATGAATGATGTACTTTTACCTATACAAAATATTACATGCATAAGTTTCTTTAAATTTTTATCGGCTAGATACTAAAATAAAACAAAAATTAAACATTAGATATAATTTTAAAAAAATTGAAATTTTAAATGCTAAATTGAATCAAAACTAATAATTTAGATATCAAATGGGTAATTTAATACCTAAACTATATATAATAAATATATTACTTCAATAATACATGAATTGTGGGACCTAATCAACAAATGTTACAATGAAAAACTAGTTAAATGGTATTGGGCTAAACCGATAGAACACATAATTCGGCTTTGTTTGATGTTCTTTGCTGAAGCCCAAATTGATCGGTTAATTTTTATGTTGTTGCAAAAGCTAGAAAAACCCTTTGTTAAACCCTTCTTCCCCACCACCGTCCTCTTGTTAAACCCTGATTCCGCCCCGAAATCTGAACGAAATTGCCGCCAATGAAGAAGAAACAGACCCCAAATCCTCCGTTAGACAGCGATGAAACCCCCGAAGGAAATCGGCGTCGAAAACGAAACCCCTTTGAGAGATGGGACCGATATTTGTCAGCATCTCATGGACCGTTATTCTAAGTCATCCGCCCCGCAGCACCGCCATCTAATCGCCACTGCCGCCGCCATGCGTTCCATCCTTTCAGCCGAGTCGCTACCACTCTCTCCGTCAGCTTACTTTGCTGCCTCTATTTCCGCCCTCGATGATGATTCGGCAGCCAACCTCGATTCGACGGCTATCGGTGCTCTTCTTACGTTCTTGTCCATTGTGGTACCGGCGATGCCGGAAGGAGGAATTTCCAGTTCAAAAGCGAAGGAGGCGGTGGAAGTTGTGGTGAGAGTGGTGGGGAAGGAGGGATTAGGTGTTGCGAGTTTGAGGAGTGGGGTGAAGTGTTTGGGGGTGTTGCTTGTTGAGTTTTCTGATTCGCAGGATTGGCACTCGATTCAGTTCGGTCTAGAGTCATTGCTTGAATTTGCCATGGATAAACGACCCAAGGTTTTGATGCACTGTTTACTTTTCCCCCAAAGCTTTAGTGGCCTTTTCGATACAATAGTCAAGAATCTGTTTGATTTTATTTTTATATCATCAATTGTGTTCGAATTTTATTCGGTCATAACAATTGCAGATTTATTTATATTGCTCTGGTTCTATCTATGATGAATGTTTTGGTCTGTTTGCATTATGTTCTGAAATTTGTCCTCAGTGTCATTTTATTGTTTTTTGATCTTCAATGAATAATCATTGTTTAGAAGGATGGCTTTTAAATCAATATGTATGACAAGCAGTAGCTCCCGTCGACAAATGCTATGTTCCTAGAGGCTAAGCAACAAGTTATTCCTTTTGTGTTGGATCGTGCATTTTCATGCAGTTGCATATTAAGTTACTTGGACTCCAGTGTGTGTGTTAGATATGAGTATGTGTTTGTCACAAGTATGGTTAGATTTTTCTAAACTTTTCCATGTATTTAGAGGATCCTTGGAGCATGTCTTGTATCGTCGGACATGAGTGTGTCGAACACGGGTACTTCCACAAACATGAAGTGTTGTAGCAACATTGCCCGAGATTGGCGCTTAATTAATACTGAAATTGAATAAACCGTTCAAAGAAATAACTGTTTGTGGAATAAAACTAGCAACTTGCTAGTCATATTTATTCATTAGTAAAGTAATTTAATGTGCTGACTTAATATTGTGTAATTTGTGTTGCAGGTTCGGAGATGTGCTCAAGAACATCTTGAGAAGTTTTTTAAGTCTTTCCAGTCCTCAGTTGTTATCAAGGAGGCAACTAAATTGGTACTTTCCTTGCTAAAAAATCATATGCCTGTTGCACTTACCTTAAGTACCATAAAGAGTGCAGATGATTCTAAAGATGAAACAATGTTGAAACCTGAACATTTGGAGGTCCTTCATATGTTAAATGTGCTGAAGCTTACTGGTCCATATCTCTCTTCCAAAATCCGTTTAAAATTTTTATCAGAACTATGTAAACTTACTAGTTCTGAGTTCTCTATTCTAACTCGGAACACTCATAGTACTATTGAAGTATTTTTTGGGAACTCAAATGTTGAAGCGATTATACCAGAGATGGAGAATGTTATAGTTTCTCTTGCGTCTTATGTCTCTGGGGAGAAGAATCCAGTAGACACTCTCATATCTGCAACAACTTTGTTAAAATGTGCGATAGATAAACTTCATGCTATACAATCAAACTCCTGGATGAAGAATGTTCCTTTAGTTTGTAGTTCTTTAGCAGGTATGGTTTTTGATGTGTTTGTTTTGACATGATTAATTATTATTTTTATTTTTAGTGAGAAGACATTATATGCTTATTTTTTTTTATTTTTGTGAGAAGATGATATTGCTTATTAGTTTGTGTTCACAAATCCGTAATGGGCTTTGGCATTTTTACACTTTGCTTTGCCTGTGTGACAAGCAACTATTGGCTATTGCGGCTTATCGCTGTCTTCTGTAAATAGGGTCGAGAATTTAGTTTATTGAATCTTCTTTCTTTGAATGAACACTTATTTTTCTGTTTGTGATTAATTATTTCCAGTTTGTATATGGGGATGTTGTTTGTCGTACCAGCTCATAAACTTATTAATGTTAAATGGTTTTTATACTTTGCACAATTGTTCACCTTCAGGTAATTCTAAATCGTTCACATAGTTGAAACTTAGAGATGGAAATTCTTGAACTGACGATCTCTCTTTTGTAACATCACTAGAACTCAACTGTGCCAAATTTCCCATATGGCATTAATTTTCTGCTACATTTAAAATACATTTTTGAAGTTTTGGAAAACTTTGGCATGTCATTCACTAGGTTAATGGTTTACTTCCCATATTGACGAACATGAATTAGTGGTTGATTGATCTAGGTGCAACTAAAATGTAAAAGGATTTATAAGTTTCTATATCAGAATGTCTAGTTCTGTTTCTCATGTGAGGTGTAGAGTTTATCTCCATTCTTCAATGCTATGGAATACATAATGTTACTGCTAATTTTGATAGTTTTCTATGGATATTGTCGTCTGATAATGTTGTAGTTTTGGTGCAGCTCTTTTGTCTTCTGAGGCTAGTGTGGCATCACATGCATCAAATATTATGAAGGAGTTGATTAGCCACCATTTAGACTTGAAGTCTTTTTCATTTGACAACAATGGTCTTGGCAGTGAGGAAGCAGATGCAATAAATTCAATATGTTCAATCTTTGAGAGTGCCCTTAGTTCAAGTGATGGACTTCCTAACGAGCATGTTTTGGCTGTCTTGACTGTTTTGTTTCAGAAACTTGGTATGCTGGATTATTTCTTTATTTGCTGCATAAGAGCTAGACAACTGTACTTTTCTAGTGGAGCCTGAATTGGTACCCTAGGTTCATAGGAATGTGTATAATATCATAGAACATGTGGCTAATACGATATTTTCATTCTTTTTCTTTGTCCTTGAGTCTATGTTTTAAAAGGAGCGAGGCGCTCCAAGGCGATTAGCTACCCGAGAGCCTCAATTTTTGAGGCGCTTTGAGGCGAGGGATTCACGTACGCGAGGCGCTTCTTTTGAGTTCCACAGAACCTTTCCCCCTCTCTTGGATTCCATAAATAATTGTATTGACACCATGATCCCCGTCACCCCTACAGACTGCCACTGGATCAAAACCTCATCCGTTTCAGTTTGCAACTTACCATTCTGCCCCCCAATAGACTTCTCATTCCCAACCCACTTAACAGGCCCATTATGGTTGGATTTCCTAATTGAAGTAGGTGCAACACCATAGTCAACCGAACGTGCAGAATCATCCGAGAAGTTTGTATTTCTCGAGACCCACGTGCTTCCCACTTATTTTTGTCCTATTATCACTGCCAACTGGCAGCCCACTAACTTCTAACATACTTGTTTTAACATTGCCCATCTTCTTGATCAGCCTTATCTTGGCCCAAGGTGACAACCCCATGCTTAAACTCCTTTCTCTCCCATCAATACAAACCCCCGACACAATCTGCTGCCCTGGAACTCCACCTAATACTGTCTCCACAGAACATAAATGGGTCATTGTACGTGAATCGCTAAAAGCATCGCCTCTCGCCGCCTCCGACGACTGAATCGCCGCCTCATGTACTCGCCGCCGCCTTGGTGGTCGGAGGCTTTCTTCTAAATGCCTCGCCTCGCCTAGCGCCTCAGGCGCGCTTTTTAAAACACTGCCTTGAGTTGCCATAACAAGAGCTTGGCTGCATTATCTTAACTATTTTTGTTCGTCTCATGTATCTCCTGTGTTATTGGTGATTTATATTAGATGTGTTATGGAGCATTCTCCAAATAAATGTGTTGGTGGTATAAGGGTCCTGTGTATTTGTGAGACTGTTTTAATTGAGTCCGCATAAACTGTTGTGACATGGCTTAGTTCTTATGACATTTGTTTCTAGAGTTGATGGACACTAAAGTAACTATTGGTTCGTAGTCCAAACAAGATGCAGACAGGGTTTTTGAAATTGTTAGAGTAGATTGCCAACTGCTTGAGCTGATGTAGCTAAAGTCCCTTAGGAAGAAACATAAATAAAAAGAGAGGATGACAAATTTGAGAACTTATATGTTGGTCAGGAATGTGTTCTTTATTCTCAGACAAAATTATTTGTGATTATTGTG